TTCTTAATAAAAATCATTTTCACATATTTAGAATAACTTTTATTCAGTAAAATTTTAAAATAACAAAACTACCTTTTATTCAATAATAAAACCCTTTTTATTTAATAAATCCTTATCCATTTAAAACTATTTCTATCTAAAAAACTTAATTTATAACCAAAACCTTTTACTAAAAAAACTAATACAACTTTTTCTTAAAATCAATCTCGCATAAAACTTAATCAACGCGCCCGCGCTCCCGACACCTTTGCGTTCTAGCACCGATTTTTTCTGAATATTTTCATTCCCTGCGCCTGTCTAATTTTTAAGCGTTTATATCTGTCTGGATTATTTATCTTTACCTTAATTTTATCGCATTATGCATGTCCAAAGGAAGAACTTGCGCATGACTTCACAAGTCGTGCGTATTACACCGAATATGCATCATTACTCCCCGCTTGATCCTTGATCATTTTCAAGTCGATCAGCTTATGTTTAGATCATAACCCTTAAGTAGGATCGTTTTATCTATTACAACTTAGATAAACCATATTCAACTCAATCAAACTTTTCTCCATACAAGAGAATTAGATGTTAGTCATCTTAACAGTCGAGATATAATTCGCCTGCCCCATAACGCGATCAAGTGATGTAGATCTTTTCCGCTTGAGGGAGATAGTGGCATACTCGTCGATGAATCCGAGTGTTTGAGCTCTTCTCTCAAGACGATGCAAAGACCATCTCCTACAAGTTGTGGTGGTTAAGTCGAGTGTTCTCCCTTAAGATGACGACTCGTCTTTTCTCTTAGAATCAATCAACGAACCTTATCCCTTTGGAACTTTAACCAACAGTTAATGGTTCCTCAATCCCTTTTAGGGGAACTACAAATACTCTGATTCCATTCCTGTCAGGATATGTAGGCCCAATATGCGACTTCTTGGCGAGTATACTTAGAAATAAACCACTAGGTCTTTCATCCTTAAGCAGATAACCCTTAGTAATAAACACACATAAAATAAGAGATTCCTGTAGAGTACTACAGAAACTTAGGATGCTAGCACCTTCCCTAAGTTTAACCAACCCCCGAACCTAAACTCTCTAGCTTTAGCATTTGCATTGCATTATGGGTAATTCGATCTTTTTCCCTTCCTTTGGACAAATTAAAGACCAGTGGTGACCTAATGAATTAAGATTCAAATTAATTAATAATTTGACATCTAATTCTCACTGCGATAAAAACATAATAGGGTTTTTTGTGCTTGTTCAAGAAACTTAATTTTTCTCTTTCATATTTTGGTTTGTTCTTGACAACATCAATTCACAATAAATAACATGGTGTGAAAGAATTCAGGCACCAGACACATACCTATTAAAAAGGAAATTAATGTAGAGCTTGTTATTTAATTGGCCTCCCATACAAGTTTATCAACAATAGATGTGCCAACATACCTGGTTGATTGATTTCCAAGTCCACCCATATTTTTTCGGGTAAGAAATCTTATGTCAATCCACCAAGTTTATGCATTTATTACTATCATCCTTTCATAAGAAGTTGATGGTACCATAAATGTTTTGAGGAGCCATATATTTCTTATGTAGTCAATGGTATAATAAATTCTCCAGGGAGCCTATATTTCTCATATAGTAAGATGAGACGGAGATGAGAACCGAGGAGGCTAGTGCCAATCTTCCAAACTTTTTAAAAGTTTATCTTACAAGAGCCAATACGAGTTCCCATTTTTTCAATAGTGAAATTGAATCCATTTCTCTTGACTCCACTTTCATGTTGGTGTAAGTCCTAAAGGTCATTAGTTTTATGATTAAACTTAAAAAATTTATCATATTAATTATTTATAACAAAAAACTTTTCTTTATTATATTTTTTTTCAATGTAATAAAGTTCCTAGAATAGTTAAAAAATTTAATGGATCATTAAGTGTGACTTAATTGTGAGACACCATTAAATATAAGAATATCATCTTAAAGGTATTTATAGTCAAGTATTACAATCAAATAGAACAATAATAATGCGTAGATACTATTATGGGAGTGGATTAATGATCATATCTCACAAGTCATGGATATGAGATATTGATTCTTCATATACACATGAATATTAAGAGAAATATGTATAATAGATTGAGTCACCATGATTATACTACTAAATGTATTATGTAAGTTTCATAAGTTATTTTAATAGGGATATTGGTGTATGTCACTGTTTGACATGAAACCATTATGGTCTATATATAAGGAGATATCACTTTAGTGTAATGTTATATGTAATAAGATAATTATAAAGTTGATTAACTTGGCACTCAATGAGTCATGAGGAACATGAGTGGCCTAGATGAGATTTCCCTCTTTTACATACAAGGGAGTAATAACTATGGGATCCTTGATTAAGTATGATTATAAAATACATGGTCATGCTGAAATAAGTCAATATGTGAGATTGAGTTTATTTATTGTTTCTAAGTATACCAAGTATCAAGGAATATAATATTTGACTATACAAGGGTGACACAAACTATGTCTTATGTTCAATATAGATATAAGGGCAAAAGAGTAATTATACATCTTATCATTATCGCATAAAGGTTATGTCGAATCACATGACATTATGGTCATTTGAGTACTAGTGATGTGTTGTTAGACATTGATCTCTATTTATAATACTAAATAAGTGATTTAATAGTTGTTTGCTGTTGTTTTTAGTAAAACAAATCACAAGTTTTAGTTCACTTAAAGGATTAAACTTACAAAAATTCTAAGGACATTTTTGTGCGAGATGTTTGAGAAATGTGTTTGTGCTTAAAGGTTCTATCTTTCAATCTATAGAAACTAGAAAATAATGTAAATAAGTAAATGCATAACTGTTTTGAAAGGATAAAGTTAACAAAGAAAACAACAAACAATTGGATAAAAAGGTGTTTGAATTAAAAATGGGACGCATGTTCATACATTACTCATGAATTCTTGATCTTTATGAATCAGATATGTGAATTGTAAGGATGATAAAATGAAAATGTGAACCCCAATTATAGAAATGAAACCTACTTATATACCATGTACGTTAATAACCGTCGAAAAGGTTAACCCTCCAACATTCAACACGTACACTATTACTTGGGTTTTGGTCCTCTTCTTTGCTTCCATGTGTCTCTGGTTCTTAAACAGCCTTAACTTGCTACCATTCATCGAAAATGTCTTCAAACCCTCTAACTGTCTCTATCGAAGAGTCCTCCTGTCAAATCTTATAGTTTAGTGTTGAAAATGTTCCTAAGTCGTCCAATCTTTGAATTAAAGAATATGCCAAGTCTTAAAACATCGGATAGACAAGTTGAATTCATTGCTCGTGATAGGTGGGTCAAATTCATCACCCCTATCGAAATAACTAATATGTCAAAAATATAGCCTGATCATCTTACACTCAGCATTTTCATACCTTTATATCACACCTTCAAGTCGATATGCTAAGCTCAAATTTCCAAGCTAACAATAATTTTATCACTTTACGAGAACCTATATGTCACACACACTATAACACATAAACGAGAGATTAAATAAATGAATAAGACTCATTTATGATTCGGTGGTGCATTCTTACGATGTACTATGACTAAATAGAGAAACATGATGCAATATAAGCTACGACACACATAAGTGGTTCTAATACATATAACCCTTATACTAAAGCAATGATCATTCATTCACGTATTCTCAAAACCCTATATGCGCTAAGATTCTGAGTTCATGTTCTCTTTAAACCTTTCGTTAGTTCACAACTAGAAATGCATGAGGGAGAATCCTTTGTTGGTAATTTTGTTTGTGTAGACTGAGTAAAGGTGACATTATTTGTGTTGTGCTTGTGATTAATTTTTTTCGACGATAAAAGGTTTTGCACTATAAGAGGTGATGAATTGATCTATGAAACATGAAGATTCATATAGATCCATCTCATGAGATTTTTTTGGTATTTTGTGTGACGTGTTTATCATGATTTTCCTTCACTTTGAGAATAGAAAACCCCAAATACTTGTCTAGGGTGGAGGTTCCATGAATTCCAAAGATATATACAAGATGATCGATTTTTATCGCAAAATGATAGAGGATAGGAATGCTCAAGAATTGGAAAGGTTGGTCTTAAGATATGAGGCACAACTAAATCGATAAAAAAGGTAACAATATATCTGAATTTGGACTTTTTGGTCTTGACAAACAAAAGGATCATCTCAAAATATGAGATGGGAGAGATGAAAGTTGTTTTGGAGATGCATATAGGTTTCTAATAGACACTTCGTTCAACATCTAGTACAATAATAAAGAGTTTTATATGTAGATGATGAAAATATAGAAAAAACGAATACTTTTTGCGAAGGTCATAAGACTTGGAAAATGTCATTTTATTTTTATTCCACATAATTAACAAGGATGAGAAAGTGACACAATGCATGATGAGCTATATACTGCTCGGAGGAAATCCAAAGTTTGAAAGACAAAATTTTGGAAATCTTAATTGAAATTATTAAAGATCTTCTTCGAATCAAGTATAAAAATGATATCTCTATTTTTCTTCAGCTATTTTCTCTTGAAATGAATGACTCCCTACAAAAACAACTTTATTAAAGATTAGTGAAAATATCAATCAAAGATAAAAGACGGTTAAGAAGACTTTTTTTAATAATCTTTGTAGATAATAATACTAGAGAGATGGGACATAAATGATTAACAAATAAAGGTAAAAAGATGGTTAACAAATACATCAAAAACCGTTATAATCGATTTTAAACCTTGAAATTAAACTATTAAAACAAATAAAAATAAATAGATAACTAAAGTCAATATATTTAAAAAAATTAATTAAATTAAATTAATTTTGATAAATAAAAAATAAATAAAGGTGTGGGACATGTGGGTAAATTACTGGACCTAGAAGAACATGTGTGAAGCGTAAGTTGTGAGTTAGTACAAACACTTGTTGAATCGGAAGGACTCCACAAGACGCAAACAGCACAATCATGGCGTCTTCTGATCCCAACAAGTTGTTAACCAAAGCTGATAAACTGTATGTCTATTCATCTTCTCATTCATTCATTTCTCTGTTTTATTATCATGCTCATCCAGATCGTGTTTCAACCTCGATTTTGATCCTACGCATATACCATTTTTGTTTCTTTCCTTATCATGTGATCCAACAATCAATTAAAACTTACAACTTTTTCAGGATTTTATATCATGTGATTTGATCTCAAACATGTTGAACTGTGGTATGTGGTTATGTTCTTCGATATAAAACCTTAAAAGTTGTCTTGTTTGTTTCTCTTTTCAGAACAAAACTCAGTCTCACTAGGTGGAGTGCTGATTGGAAGACTGCTACTGGTCTTTATGAACAGGCTGGTATGTGGTAACTATTATTATTATTCAATCATTTCTAAATTTTTTATTTCATTCTTTGTGCAACCATTATTGTCAATTTCGGATCGCGCGAAATAGCCATTTGTTTCCAATTCCGCTAAATTATGGTGCTATTCGGTAATAACCTATGAAGCACAGACACCGGAAACTAGACACTGACACGTCTATGCCGGCAATAATTTGAAAAAAAATAAATTAAACATAATCATAAGTGTCCGAAACGGACACAGACACCTTTTTTCAGAGGTATAGGTGCTATAGAGACAATAACACTAAGACAAGAATGTCTAAATTAATTCTTTAAGGAATATATTGCATTTTCATGATAAATCTAATGAACTTTTTTTTGCTCTGGTGTAGCTATTGGGTTTAGAGCTTCCAAGAACCATGAGAAAGCCAAGTTGGCTTATGAGAAAGCTTCGCAAGGACAAGAGATGCTTTCTTCGTATCCTTATATTCTTTGATTTTGTTTATTACATTGTCTCCTTCATCTTCTTCATTTATTAAGGATGATACTTATCTTTGTCTTCTATGATGTTTTCGGATTCACTTTGTTAAAATGTCACCTCTTGTTTGTCCTTGACAAGTTAATCAGACCTTGGGATGCGGCTAAGCACATGGAATCTGCTGCTGCTCTGGCCAAGGAGCTGAGCAACTGGAGAGAAGTTGGGGACTTCTATCAAAAGGCATCTCAGTTATACATGGAGTGCGGTAGACCACAACCTGCATCGGATGCTCTTGCAAAGGGAGCTCGGTAATTGTAATGTTTACCCTCTTGTTTTGCTGTTAAAAGTATGATAATTGTGATATGTTAAAGTAGAGTAATCAACTAAACATTAGCATATATCAAAAATACATAATGTGAATGCCCTGATAGGTGCTATCCCAACACTCTCTCTTAGGGATATATTTGAAAAAAGAGTAATAAATGTATTTAGTAATTTGTAAAGGGTTTTATGTTTAGGAGCAAGGAAAATTTTCAAAAGGGTCTTATAATTAGGAACGCAGGGAGTATGTAGTTTATGGAATCCTTTGAGGTATTTGGTTGTGGCAATGTCATTTGAAATGCTTTCATAAGATAATAGGGGTGTTTCTTTGGCCTTCAAATTGCTCGGGAGAATCTGTGTATATGGCCTTTTATCGGTGTGGTGCACATGACTGTTTCAAAAGGATTTCCATTTCAGATATGGTTAGAAATTGACCAGCATTGCTACATTCTTGATCCATTCAAGTTCTCTAATATGTTTCCCCCTCTGTTTGGAATGGTATCTTGTCTCAATCATAATTGTGTGTTTCGCCTTTTCACTTATCTTATAATAAATTTAGAGTACATCTGTTATTTGGTTCAGTCAATGATTACTACGAAGGAAACAGTAACACGAGATGATGTTTTTAATAACTATAAATCATTGATATAAGCCTCGTCATAAATTTAATACATTATGATGGTCCTTGTATTTTATGCTGCAAATACAGTATTTAACAAACAATAATCAATGTATGTTTTGCATCTGGATATAAAATTATGCTTTACTGTCTACTAAATCTCTATCTTTTATCAACCATACATTGTTATAGTACCTTTCCCCCTATGCAGTGCTTTAGAAGATACCATGCCTGAAGAAGCTATTCAGTTATATACAGATGCTTGTACAATTCTTGAAGAAGATGATAAGGATCAGATGGCCTTTGATCTATACCGTGCTGTAACTAGTGTTTATATAAAACTTGAGAAGTAAGTACTATAAAAGTTAAGGCAGTGTACATTCTTATGGTTAGTAGATAATGAAGCATAACCTATCTTCGTGCACTATCTAATGCTAAAGGAAGCATTTGATAAATAGGTTAGAACAGATGAAATATGTGTTCTGTTCTATATTTGGTGTTACTAAAAATTTAACGGAATGGAACAAAGTATATATTTAGTTCCACTAAAAGGGCATAATAGTTCCATTCTGTTCTGTTCAGATACCAAATGCTACCCAAAAACATAACCCAACCTAGAATCACCAATTAGTTTATCATCGATATCTTATTTGAAACCATGGGCTCTGATCCTCCACCACAGAGCTTATGTTTTTCTTGTCCTCCACATGCAACTCGTTTATGCATTGATGTATAACTGTTTCTTTATGCATGCTATGTGCCATCTTCGAGTTCTAGATTTGTTCTGGGTCCTGGCTTTGCACTGTAGTAAAGCTCATAGTTTAGTAGGGGTTCCCTTTACATAAGATATGATGAGCCAAGGGAAAATGCAAATCTCTTTTCTCGTGATTATTTGTTTTTTCTTTTTTTCTCAATTAATTTTATTCGCATAATGTAACTATAGAAGTAATTTTCATAAGTGTAAATTTGTAAATAAACATTTCATTTATTGTATTTTGACTGACATATTTGTCTTGGGCATGGTTTGATACACAGATATACAGATGCCGCATCTTCCCTGTTGAGATTGGGCTTGGCAGCTGACAAGTGTAATGCTACCAATAGTCAGTCCAAGGTTTGTAATAATATATAAATTTTTTATTCTGTATTCCGTAGGGCTGCCAAACATGTGAATACCACTAGAATCTGTATTGTTTATACGCATGTTTATTTTTGTGTTTAACCTCTCCAAAACTTTCTCTCGCGTATCTTATTATGAATGCAGGCTTATCTTAGTGCCATTATTGTCTACCTTTATGCTCACGACTTTCAGCAAGCAGAGAAGTGCTATAATGACTGCTCTCAGTAAGTTTCTATCTCCTCTTTGTTCTGCTGATCTTTATTGTATTGAAGTGTAAATTCAACCAACATCAACATGTCATATATGGATTGTTAATCAGATTGATTATTGATGATAAAATGTGTGAAAATGCTTGCATTGTTTGTAGGATTGAAGCTTTTCTCAAAAGTGACCACAATCGTTGCGCTAGCAAGTTTCTTGCTGCTTACTCAGATGGAGACGTAGACGAAATCAAAAAAATTGCTCAGTCTAGTGCTGTTTCCCATCTTGACCATGCAGTGAGTGATTTAGCATATATGTAGTTTTTCTTTTAGACTGGGAAAATATAAGATAATGAAAACAATCTAGCTATAGAAACTTCTCCGCTGCTTGTCACAAATATCAGGTCTTCGTCTTTTTGAGTCGAAGAATCAAACAGAAATGTGATTTAACCCAATATTTTTACTTCAGTTCTCACTGTTTTAAGGGTTATATATATGTGGACTCAACTTTTTATGATATGGTGTAAATCATTTGCAGATCATTCGACTAGCGAGGAAACTTCCAACTGGCGATGTGAGCGCATTAAAGGCTCACACTGCTGAAGATGACGAGGAACCACTGGATGAAAATGACCTGACTTAACCTAATGTTCTATTTGTAGCACTGGTGCAAAACCTATTACAACATGTTGATGAGTGAATTGAATTGTTTGGTATATATCGAGTTTTGTATAAAAATATACTGTTCTTTTTACTGGGTATATATACATAATGAAATGAAATGCAGATAATAAGAGGAACGCCATTCAATCAATCCAAATGATATATTACTTAGATTTTATGTATGTTGTGATTCAAGTAAAATTGTATGCAGCGAGTAGGTTACATTCAAATCCTATTCTCACAACACATTCAATACAAATTATAAAACCAAGAAACCACCAACAAACTTCACTTATCATTCATTCTCTTCCATCCAAAACCAAGAAAACAAACCCAAGAACACAAATCTCTCTCCCATTCTCCCTCTGCCATGGAAAACACCAACCACTATCCTCATTTCTTCATCATCACTCTCATCTTGTTCACAACCTTCACAACAACATGCAGTAGCTCCACAAACACATCATCATCAACAACACCATCTCCACCAATGGCAACTCAAGAACTAAACAACATTCTTGACGCACTCATAGGTTCAGGAGACACAACCATAAACAAATGGGTAAGCATATTATCAATGTCAAATCCATTAATAAGCCTAACACTCTTCATCCCTCAACAAACACTATCACCTTCATCTTCCACATTAGACCCTTTCGCTTTCCCTTACCATATCGTCCCACAGCGTCTCCCTTTCGCCGACCTCCTCCTCCTCCCTCGTTACACCCGTCTCCCTACTCTCCTCCCCGGTAAAACCATCACCATTACCGATAATTCCCTCGGTAACTTCACACTCGACGATGTCCTCCTGACTCATCCTGATCTTTACAACACATCTTCCCTTGCTGTTCATGGTGTTGAGAGGCTTCTTGATTACTCTACCATTGGTGATGCATCCATTATGCCGAATTCGCCAAACTTTTTGCCGGTGGGAGAAACATGGAAGTCGGCCGCTGCCTTTTCGGCCGACGTTAATATCTTCTTGCTGGTCATCTTGTTTGTTCTTCAGCAACTCGTCTTCTTTGTGTAACACATAGATCAATGCAGATACATGATATACATGTTGAGTTTTTCTTTCTTTTTTTGGTTTCTTGAGTGCATGCATACGAACCAGTTATAGTTTTTTTTAGTTTGTTTTGTTTTGTTTATATGAATGCATGCAGTGATTTTGTAGTGTATAATATTCAAGAATGTGATTGAAATGGTATTAGAATTTTACTAATGTTTTCATACTTACTGTATATATTGTTTAGTTCCAAATTTCAATTTTGAAGCTAGTAAAATTGATTTTTAAAATGCAGAATTGATGACGTGTCTATAGATGGTTTTGAATGTTAATTATTTTGAATCTAACATTGATTTTAATTTAATGCTAGAGTTTTGAGTTTTTATCTCTGATTTAGTTTTAAAGTTATTGTTTGATCTATTTTTCATAAATATATTTAAATACGGAAATTAACATTCTACTTAATGAACCAAATTTAAAAAATCATCTTTGGTAATAAGAGTAGCTTGAGACTTTGTAAAATAATTTTCGAAAAACATAATTAGAGAAGCAGATTTTTTGGAAGAAAAAAAAAACAAAAAATGTTATCAGTAATAAGAGATAATTTAAGCACAATGAGTACAAAAGAGAAAACAACTTTCAGACAAAACCTGAAGACTGAATCAGAGAAAGTGAAAAGTAACGTTAATCAAGTACGTGTGATCTATGCAACTTAAAGCACCATTATCGAGGCCATGTTATCGTTCTTTCATAGTTTTCCAATACACTATGTTAGCATTCAATGGATATTTAATGTGCAATATGTTCTTTAACTTTCAATAGTTACGGAGGAAAGCACGCTTCTACACATAATAGTTAAAATATACAAATCACTCAATGTGTGGAATAAATTGTAATGTATAATGGGACTTATTTTAATGTTTTTTTATGGATTATATGAATATTTAGAAAATGTAGATGAGTAGTTTAAATAATTGAGAAGTGTAAAATAATATATGTTCTGGACTTATCTAATAGTTAGGCATGTTCCAATCCATTTCTGCTTTCAGAACGGTCCAATTGTCTAAGTTCAGCTAATTTGTGGAGCATTTACTTTTTTGCCCCTCCACCGGGGAAGGTTGGTCTGTTGACCTCTAAAGTCAACTGCCCCTCCTCAACAGTTCATCCCCGTCACGCACGGTTCCACCATGCAAAAATAGTCACGACGCTTGTGTCCACTACTGCGTCTACTCCTGTAGCAACGGCTAGTTTTGGGCACTTCTGCACGTCCCAACGACTAGTTTATGACAATTACCTATTCTTTAGGGAACAGTTATCTCGGCCCGAAAATAGGGACTAATGGCCAAGCGTTGGGGGCACTATAAAACCCCTCTCATTTGAGAGGGCCAGGTATTCGATATTCATCCTAATACACATATATTTTGTACTTGCCCTTTTTTCTCCTGATTCTTACTTTAGCATCGGAGTTCCTTGCAGGTACACCTCCTCATCATCTCTCACACCTAACATCACATACGTTGTCTCTGGCCTACTTCAAATTTTGATTCAGTCTTCAAGATCAGTGGCGCCGTCTATGGGAAACTCTGTTATCCCCGTCTTTCTTCCGTCGTAGATTCAAGACCAAAGCAGTTCTTCCAAACTCTGATCATGGTCAGCCGTGACAACACCCATGATGCTCGCAACTCTGCCTTCCTCCCCATCAGCAAGACTGATACTGATGGAGCAACCACCTCTCTTAGGGGCGACGCCCACCATCAAAGGGATGAAGCCACCACGTCTCCCTCCCCCGTTTGCGCTGATCACAATGAGGTCCATCCCATCCAAGACCACCTGTCAGTTTCAGTTCCGCTCAGCGCTGACCCGGCCATGGCGGCCTTCCTTGAGGCTCTCAACAAGACTAACCTTCTAATCCTCCATCAGAAATCGAGGATTGGAGCCCTAGGATATTCCAGTCGTCCATGATCCTCTCCGTCGAGGAAAGAGTGTCGGAGATCACAGAGTGCTCCTCCCCGGCGGGAAAGAAATTGTTGGGCACCTCCAGAACCAGAGTCCCAGGCCGTCAAAAAGTGCGACCACATCTCCCTCCGGAGCCAGTACTCCCCGAGAACCAAGAGGACCAGAAGAGATCAACGAGCAGAGTCTCAGCGTTCGCATCCGCCCAGATCTAAGGGTTGAGCACGAACCCCTTCTCCCCATCGAGACCACCATCTTACCTAGACACGAAGCACCCGCTTTCCATCGTGGTCCAGCAGCAGCAGCGACGACGAGCTCCGCGGCCCGTTGTCCTAGGAGATTATGGTTATGCGCCTACCGAAGGGACTGGAAAACCCCCTTCTCTGGGCACGTATGACGATACTACGGACCCTGACGAGCACATCGAAAATATCAATGCGTTGCTCGATTACCGTGGCGTTTGGGGCGCCATCAAATGTAGATTGGTCCCAACCACGCCGAGGAAGGGAGTGATGACCTGGTATAAGAGGTTCCCCAACGATTCCATTACATCATAGAGGCAATTGGGGAGAATGTTCTCCAGACACTTCACAATCTCTCGCCGCCACCCAAAGACTGAAGTCTCCCTTGAGGCCATCATTCAAGGGAAGGATGAACCTCTTCGAGCCTATATCAAAAGGTTTAACAAGGAAGTTGCCCAGAGCTGCATGAACGACAACATGAAGAAATTCTTGCTCGAGCGCAGGCTCCGTCCCCGCACAGAATTTTCCAAAGCAGTAGGCATTCAGCCTCCAGCAACACTGGTCGCCTTCCTTCTTAAAGCGCAAGCATACATCCAGTACGAGGAGAAAGAAGCCACCAGCTCCGCCCGGGACTCGAGGCACTAGGAGAGTGCTAGGTCCTCAAAGCCCGATGAGCCCTCGATATCTCGTCGGAGAGATAGAAGATGCGAACATTTCTCCCGGGAGCCCCGGGACAACAAAGGGCATTTCGATCGGTTCAATGAATATACTCCTCTGACAGTCTCTCGAGAAAAGATCCTTTACGAGTGCGCCAAATCGGAATTTCGGCAAGCGGGAGTCTGCTTCCCTAAACAAATATCATACAAGCCAAATATTGACAAGTCGAAGTATTGCCGGTTCCACAAGAGCCACGACCATATGACCGATGACTGCATCCACCTGAAGAATGCCATTAAGATACTGATCAGGAACAAACATTTAAAGTAGTTCTCCAAAAGGAAGGATGCTCCTCGACAAGACGCCCAAGAGTCCAAGAAGATCGAGGAAGAGGTGCCTTCCTTAAAAGAAACCATCCTTCAGGTCGCCATGAGCATCCCACGGCCTAAAGACTTCTACATCCTCGAGGGGCTCAACGTACCTCCCTACTTCGCCGCACATATCCCGTGGGAGACCTTCCCCTCCGCCATTGTCATCTCTGGAAGGGGTAGACGGCCCTGGCATGCTCCTCCTAGGACTTCTTAACCTTTTCTTCCAAGTCCGCAACCGCAGCCTAGGCTTTCTTCAGCTCAGATTCGTGGTGGGAACTCTCCTCGGTGTAACCCCTTGTCAGGGCAGAAGCATCCTGAGCAAGCATGGCCCTTTTGCTCGGGCGGTCCATCTCCTCAAGCTTCAGGGACTCCTCCCGAGGAATCACCAAAAAAGAACCCTTGAAGAATCTCTTGTTGTGCAGGCACGGAGGCAGCTCAAACATGCTCTTCTCCCCTTCCTTGCTAAGGTCCACAATCTCGCCCGTACGTTGACGTTTAAGCCTCAAACTCACAGGAACAGGTGATATTTGGACGGTCGATGGGGTAGACGAGGAGGTCCCTAACCCAGTTTAAGGAGGAGGTGCTCGCTGGCTAAGGCGACTCTTTCCGACCGTTGTGCCTCCCTTTAGCTTCGCCTGGGCATTCTTCACCATTCTTTCTTGAGCGGAAGACATGTTACCTCAAAACAATGAACATGTTAGTACACGAAGAAAATAACAACTCAGATAAACTAAGAGGAAATAAAAGACTACCCAAAAGTTCTAAAGCCCTCGCAGGAGGGCTACCCTCGAGGAGCTCTTTTGTATTGATGTATCGGGCCTCCACCTGGGGCTCCCCATCTTCTTCGTAAATAATCTTCCCAGCACGGATCACGCACTGAGCAGAAAGAAAGTCGTTCACAAAAGCCACCAACTTGGCATAGTTGGCTCGATCGTCGTCCCCTAGCTGGTGAGGAGTGGCAATATATTCGTCGGTTGGGTGGGTAAAATGTGCCCCGCTCCAGCAAAAGGGAAACTTGAACAGCCTCTATGCAAGCACCTTGCCATGCTCGTCAACTAAGGCTTCCCCGCTCTCGTATGTTGAGACCTCCCAGACAAAATTTGAGTCGGTGGATTTCTCCGACACGGGCTCAATAATATAAAACCTTTCCTTGAAAGTCCTAATGGACTCAAAAAAGGGTTTGAATAACTTCCTCCCCTGCTTCAGGGAGACCCAACCGAACTTCCTCTCTAAGACTTGTCGCTGAAGATGGAAGACAATAAAGAAGAGGGGAACGGTAGCTCCAATATCTAAATATTCACACACCAGCTTGAATGCCCGTATAAAGTCGATCGAGTTCGAATGCAGCTGCGAAGGCGCCAGGTCTAGGTGCACAAAGACGACCCTCTGAAAATTTGAAAATGGCAACCTCAACCCTATCTCCTTGAAGACATATTCGTACATAGGGAATTTCTCCCCATATGAAGAGCAGATACGATCGTCTTCTCTGGGGAAATGGACCTTTCAATCTCCCTCAGCCCCCCCCCCCTTATGTGAAGACATCCCCGATGTAAGAGGCAAAAAGAGAGGCATGCTCCCCAGGCTCTGCCACAGACCATTCCTCTGCGGTGGTCCTCGAAATGGGAACTTCACCAATGTCTCGAGGCGTGGAAGTATCATCAGTCTCAGTATCCTCCGAGGAGCTCTCCTAGGACAAATCTCTCAGGGTTTCTTCTTCAGCTTCGTGCAACATATCCTTTACCTAAAAAGCAGAGGATAAAAGTGAATTCGATGACAAAGTCAAATTCATCCTTCCACCTCT